ACATCAGCTTCCTGTCATGGTGATCAGAGGAACGCCCAGAGCGCTGGTGTCGTACCTCAAGGTGTTTGCTCTGGACACGTTCAAAATGCTGGAGCAGCTCACTGTAATCCACCTGAGTGTGAGAGGCACGTCTGGAAGCCACGTGCTGTTTAGAGTCCATATACTTGGATTCATCTACAGTCCTCATGAGCTCTGGATTGGGAACACAACTCAAGCGGTGGGAGAGCAGTTGAAAGGCCTGGCTCTGAGGCAGCAGCATCAGCAGACCGTACAGTGCCTTTATCAGGTATGGGTTGTTCTCCACATCGAGGAGCTGCAGACGCAAGTATGTAAAAATGGGGCTTTCTATAAGCTGTACAAGCTTGTCGACCTCCATCAGGAAGTCAACTGTAACCTCGAGATTTCCAAACTTTTGGATCAAATCATAGGCATGCTTGTAGTTCTGCGTGAGGAAACAAAGTGAGACAGTCGCCACAGGGTTGTGGCACCAGGAACGATACAGGCAGCAAAACAAAGCACAGCTCTCCTGAGTGCGCAGGTCTTTCAGCTGGTTGCGCAACTCAAAGAGCTCAGCTGAGGTGAGCAGGATAGTGTTGAGTGTCTGAACCATGGTGGACGCAAATTTAAGGTCCTCCTCCTTCAACAGGATGTCAGCCATGGAGTGGAAGATGTTCTCTGCATGAAGCAACAGACACAACTGTCTGATGATGAAAGCTCCTCTGTTCTCCAAAAGCTTTCTCTCCAGACTGAAACGCTTGAGCAGGTTGATCATGAACTTGTAAAAATAAGAGTTCATACTGGGAGTGGAGGGGGATGAGTCCACCCCCTTGGATCCTGTGCTGGACTGCTGTGCAGGCTTCACACTCTCTGGTACCTTGAGCACCACTTTATTGTCAGCGTTGTCACAGGACAAATTTTGGTCTGTTTGGCCAGCAGGGGATGATGCTATCTCAGCTAAGACCTCCAGATCTTTCAGTATGACCTCATCGGACTCATCGGACAGAGTTTTCAGGAGCATGGGAAAGAGACTGTCTGTGTGGCGGAACATTTTGCGTGGTGTCTTGATGTAGAGGTGATAAAGCCATTTAAGCACAGCTATGCGGGTCATCATGCCAGTGGAGGAGTCATGAAGGTGGCGGTCCAACACCTGAACAATGCCATCCAGGTCCAGAGTTACCTGAGGCCTATCAGCACTTGCTGGAGTGAAGAAACTGATATTGCTGAAACCAACAGACTCCTGGGATGCATTCAGCATATCATTGCTGTCTGTCTCTGTTTTGGGCTTGTCATTTTCCTTAGATGGTGACCCTGTGCTTTCACGCCTTTCCTCCTCCTCTTCCTCATCATCCTCGGGAGTGACCAGTTTCATTAGACTGTAATTACAAGCACTAGCAGCTTCTTTAGTATTCTTCTTTCTGTCATCATAGGAAAGGCAAGGCAGCACTGCAGTCAGGATGCCAGAAGAGTACGGAAGCATCACTCTGCCCGCAAGCTGGATGAACTCCCTCATCCATGTCATAGCTGTCAGCTGGATCAGATCATTTGTTAATTTGGTCTCATCTGCAGCCTGGCAGTGGATAACCAATATGTTGGCCATCTCAGCAAACTTCACAGTAGAGGGAATCTTCTTAATCTCCTTTAGAAACTCTCCAAGCACCACCTCGCAGGTCTTTCTAATCTCTTTGCTATTGTCCCCCATGATCTGGAAGAGCCCATCCAAGATCTCAGGGAGATAGTCTAACAGGTGGATGTCTGGCACAGACTCCAGAACATGAATCCAAGAAATTATAAACTGCCTGGCATACTGATTGTTGGAGTAGATTCTCTCTCTCAACAGTGGAACAAATGCCACTAAGTCAAAACTGTTGCTTTCGGTGACAATGTCTTTCAGTAGTCTATCAAGGAGTTCAGATCCGCTTTTTACATTTGGGTCAGGATCTGCTGCAAGTTTGCTGAGACCATCAAAAAGCAGGTTGAAGTGGGGCAGCACAGCTCCCCTAGCCACTTTGACTATGTTATAGAGGGCCTCACAGGCGTAGTAGCGCAAGCGGCTGTCTGAGTCATTGAAACACGTGAGTACAGGCTCAATGAGCTCCTTCAGATACAGACCCGACTCTTTTCCGAGGGCGATGGAGCAAGCTGCCAGTCCAATGAGACCCCCTTTCCGGCTGTGCGGGTGTTGAGAGAGGGCAAACTCCGAGGCTAAAATCTGGATCACATGTCTGATTTGAGTGGCGTTGTTCTGAGCCACAAACTCCCGCACCAGCTTCTCGATCTCTAGAGCTGCGACTTTCCTCTTTTCGTACAGTTTATCATTCAGAGCCCTGACGATGTTGGGCGTCAACGGCGAAAAGTCTTTCTCCGTGTTCATTTTCGCAGCTGCGTTGGTCCCGGATCCGGTCTGCTCAAATCTGCGTCGATATGCGAGGAAACGTATTGCATTTAATTAATTTGATGAAGAGACAGTCAGCTGCTTCTGCTTTCATTTGCTAAACCAGGAAGCTTTCTAATACAACGCAGCTGACCGGTTACATCCACCGGAAATACGTCACAGTTGCAACATTTATTTGGGTCCCGCTTTGTGTGTGTCGTTACCTCAGATTAGCTTGATTAGTTACGTGTTCAGCCAATGAGCGTTTTCGTTTTCTTTGCTAGCTAACGACATCGCACGTTGGATTTTAAGCATACTTTCTCTGAGCTGTTTGTGTCGTAGCCACAATCAGCAGCCATGGCGAGCCGCCGCTCTTTTCACTCGCAGCTCTCGTCCATCATGGAGACGATGGCCAGGTCTGCTTTGAGCCAGGTCTGCAAACTTGTGGACGAAGACTCGGCTGAGCTGCGGCAGGAGCTGTCTCGGCTCCTGTTTGCAAATTCAGCCCTGGCAGAGAAAGTAAACAGCCTGGAGTGCAAGCTGACTATAGTGAGAAGCGACGCCCCTAGTTTGTGCAAAAGTTATCGCAGTGTGGGTGTGCAAACTGTGTGCTTCAGAGACGAGGATGCTGCTGGTAGCTGAATTTATTCGCAAAAGCAAATCTGATTTCGTGATCGCCATCACTTTTGTATTTCGTTGTGTGTTTATTTCATACTTTTATTGTTTGACCTTTCTTTAGTGCCTGGGCCTCCCACCATAGAGGGAATCTTTGGGAAAGATTGGTGCATGAATCTATGGAAAGACAGAGACCCGTACAGTCTGCAGAGATACACAGACTCACCACAGTCCCCTGATAAGGTGAGAACAAGTTAGACTCGGGTATGACGTATTTGCTGTCTTTATGCCTATGAGCAATTTATAACAGAGTTTCCAGACAGGCAACATATATAAATGGTTTAATATAGAATACTGATTACCAGGGTACACACATTCTGCTTATGCACATTGAAAAGCAGACCTTATTTTAAATGTGTTTAATAATAAAATGTAAACAAAGTAATGGTAAACAATTCATTTGGAATAATATGGCGTATTTATGATATTAAAAAATCAAAACACATGCACATCTTCCACAGCATCTTTTTGTTTTGGTTTTATATCAAAATTTGCTGCTAATCATTTCATCATTAGTTACAACTGACAAAGCATTACTGTTACAAACATATTGCTGTATTAAACTACAATTTAGGATCGGATGTTTTCTGTTTTGTAGTCTGTGACAGCACTATCTGACCAAATAACTGTGACTGAGATCAAAGAGGAAGACTACGAGGGGGATGCTGTCAGTCGCTGCCAGCAAGAAACGCTCAGCACAGAAGGTAAGTGAGGGAAGAAGAACTTAGCCAGGGGAATATACCCTGCAGATGTAGCAGCTTTAGTAGCTTTTTCAGTGTTTGAATTTTTGCTTTTGTGCAGCAGAACATGAAGACAGCGTGGCTGAGGAATCAGAGCAACTTTCTGTTGGTTACACGTTCGATGGCAGCACTTGCAGTCTGTCTTTTGATCAAGATGGGGAACAGGTTGTATCGGTGGGTGGTATTGAAGAACCATCTGTGCAGGTGGTATCCATCAATGATACAGAAGAAGCTTTCAGCACTCATATCATTCCAATCGAAGAGGATGACAACGATGATGATGATGTTCAGTTTGTTCAGGAAAGTCAGCAGGAGCCAGCAGTGAACACTACTGAAGTTGGGCCCAGCCACGAGGAGCAGCAAACAATGCCAGTAGACAGTACAGAAAAAGACTCTGCTGTGGATAAAGAGTCTCACGATGACTTTAATGTGCGTAACACAGAAACTTCCAGAAATCAAAACAGAGAGAGATTTACTTGTCAAATATGTAACAGGACATTCTTTCACAAGGGCACTCTAACACACCACATGAAGTCACACAAGTCAAACTTTTGCAGCATCTGTAAGCAACACTTCCCACACAGGAACAAGTTAAACTCACACAGCTGCCTGCCTCCAGTGCCATCTCACAGAATCAGTAAGTCGTGCGAGTTGTGCGGGAAGAGCTTTGCCAACCCATCAGCTCTGAGGATTCACTACGTTGTCCACACAGGTGAGAAACCCCACAGGTGCAGCTTATGTGGGAAAGGGTTTACCCAGAAAGGCAATCTGAAGTGTCATCTGCGCATCCATACGGGCGAGAGACCGTTCCGCTGTGTTAAATGTGGGAAAACCTTCACGCAGAAGGTGAACCTCAACCATCATTTAATGGCACATAGAAATCGAGAGGTTGTAGGCGAGAGGCCCATACCTAGGAGACACGTGAAGAACATGATAGCAGCAGTCAGTCAGTAACAAACTGAAGTAACTTATCAACTTTGACGCCTCTTCTACGGTTTTAAAACTTTAGCAATTACGTCTGTAATAAATTGTAGTCTGTAGTGTTGTGCTTAAAAAGTCTTGTATGGAAGAAAAATATTTTAGTAGTTTGGTGTTTTGACTTTACAAATAAAATGCAAATGTTTACATTATGATATAATTTCTTACATTTTCTACTTTTTAAAATTGCTTTTTTTGTTCAAAACTCACAAATTTGTCAGTTTTAGTTACAAGGTTTATAACGATGAACGTGCATGTGAGTACAAAGGGGAGGAGTTTCAGGAACAGATTTTTCTTTGGTAAATATAATTCACTGAGCTGGGTCAGCGTAGACTGTTCAGGGCAATTATTACAGGAACATTTGTTGTAAATCTCCGTTTGGACATTAAGACAGTTCAACACAATATAAATATTTATTTCAAACAGTAACACTACTTAATCTTGAAACTTTTTGGAATTCATTCAAATATTATATGACAAACACAAGCATTTTTTTTTTTAAATATCAATAACATTTTTTTCAAAGAAACAATGTATGTTGCCTAAAAATAAGTCTAGGCATATGTGGAATATAAAACATGACACAAACTGATTTAATCTACTTCTATTTTGATGTGAAGAGGTAGTTTGAAGGTTTATGCTACACATGTGCAAATCATGGAGAACCTGCCTAAAGTAATTATTTTGCCACCAGCTTGGGCAAGCCTTTTGTGGTCTGAAACATGAGGTATTTAAACATGTTACACGTGCATGGATGAGAAGCCGGCAAAGCTTTTTTTTTTTTTTTTTTTTCATCATGGATCAGAAGTTCTCTCTCATTTTTGATCATTTCCTTGTTAAGCGTGATGTGAAATGTCTTGGGGACTCCAACCAGTCAAACTGAATCCCATCAGTCTAATGGCTCATTTAAAAAAGGACACATATTTTCCATACTGTTGTTGGCTGTTGTTACAAATGCAAATTCAGCAAAGCTAAAAGCGTGCCAAAGAATGAGCAGTAATGATAACCACATGGGCATTAAAGTTGGTTTTGTAATAGAACAAGTATTTCAAATCTTCATAATGTTTTTAAACCACGTTGAGGGTTATATGGACATGTTGGCAGATGATGAGCAACTGTGGGTGATACTGAGAGCACTTCTGTCAAAAGCTTCTGGTTTGACCGACAAATTGAAACACTGGTGGTGATTTAAACCATACTTGTACGCATAACATTTCCCACAATCCACACAGCTATAAGGCTTTACACCCGTGTGTGTCCGGATATGTATATTCAAAGAGCTTTTCTGAGAAAAACTTTTTCCACAGTCTGGACAGCTGTACGGCTTTTCACCCGAGTGCACACGTTGGTGCAGTTTCAGGTACGTCTTCTGTGCAAACCTCTTTCCGCACACTGGGCAGCTGAAGGGCTTCTCGCCCGAGTGTCGCCTAATGTGGACTTTCAGGCTGCTTAAATAGTTGAATATTTTTCCACAAAATAAACACTCAAACTGTTTGGTTGGCTTCACCGGTTTTTCCTGAAGGTTGAGTTCTTTGGTTGCGTTCATGTGAATACTGTTCGTATAGTCTGAGTATTCTGTGGCAACTGAAGGAGGATTTGTGTTGTTAATCAGAGCGCCCATCGCCGCATCGTCTATTAATTTGTCCATAATTGTCGGCTGTGCGCGTTGCTGTATTTCACTGTCAGTCGTCATAGAGAAGTTGTTCAATTCCCCCGAGTGAAGTTGGAGATCATCAACAGATCTTTGAAGCATGCTGTCCTCTTCAAACATCCCAACAACTGTTAAAAAGAGAGCCACTGTAAACCAGTACACACACAGGACGGGATTATGACTTGTGTTTGGTGTCTTTTTAATATGCACTTACTTTTTCTGTTGTCTGTGAGCCTCCTCTGCTGTCCAATGGGATAATCGTCAAACATCTCCTCCTTGACAAAAATCAGATCAGGTTCTCTTTCCATCATATTGATTGCCTACCAACAAGAAATGACAAGTAGCTATGAACACAGCAATCATTCAGCTAGTTTGCTGCTTGTTACAAATACAAAACTTAAACCCAGACTGCAACTGATTCACCAACCGCAGCTCCCATGCTGGTTGTAGCGGCAGTCTCCACTGGTTCTCTTCTTTGAGAGGGCAGCTTCTCTTCTCTCCACAGGTCCATGCACCAGTCCTTCCCAAAAACTCCATCAATGGCTGGAGCAGGTTGGTGCTGTTCTGGAAGAAGAGAAACATGCAACATTGGGACTTGCTAGAGAATGATGATCACCAGTATGCAGAGTAGAATCTCAGAAGAGATTATATGCAATAAAGCTATTCGGTCCACTGTAATTCTAGCCCCATACTATAAATATCATGCAGGATGTGGAAGCCCCCTGGTATGTACCAGTCTGCACCGATTTCTTACCTGCAGGGTGCCGATCCCGGCGACTGACGCTGTTGTTGACGTGTTCGGGGTACGTCTGTGCCTCCCTCGCTGCTCTCAGCTGGACCTCCAAAGAGTAGCACCTCTTCTTCAGCGCCTCGTTCTCCGTCTTGTGCAAGGATATCTCGGTGTGAAGGACGGAGGAGCACTCATCAGCCAGGTTGCTTATTTCAACCAGAGCCGCCTTTGTTAGCTTATCCAGAATAACGGCCAGCTGCGTCCTAAAACTGCGGTTTGTGGTGTCGCACATCATTTCGTCAGCGAGGCTCAGTATTTGGAAATATTGAAACGATTCTCAGCGTAGGAACGCAGCTCCTTTAATCAAATATGAAATGTACAGCTGTGCCGCAAGGAATTGTGGGAACACGCTTTCTTCGCCCCCACCCCCAAGCTGCTGAAGACAACACAGTGGAAAATTCAACGCAGCATTAGAATATGTTTTCTGCCTGCACAGATGTTTTATCTCCCTATTATAACAATATATGTGGAAATAAAGACATCTCTTTAAAATCACACCTTATTGCCAACCTCTCCACCACACTGTCCGTGCAATTCACAGCCCTGCGATGGCAAGGAACCACTGTGAATTCACATACAACGAGCAAAGTATAACAAATAAATGTATCTTTTTATTTTATTCTCACAGCGTCTGTACTTATTTAGAATATACACAGTAATGTTGAGCGCCCTCTCTCGGTCACTAATCTGCAACACAACTTTGTTGCCAGCATGATAAGTATCGGTGTGACTTTTAGCAAAATGAGTGTCACTATGAAGAACATTCATTCATTCATTTTGTAATTGTTAGTTAATAGTAGAAACTGGGATGATAATAGTTTCATTGATATGGCTTTTTAAATCACTCTATTAGAATCACTTCCCTCTAGTGGTAACAATGAAGCACTTTAAAATCCTTAATTCAGATTTTTTTAAGATTAAGAATATTTTCTGTTCAATTATGATTGTTTTGTGAATGGGTGATATAGATGGCATAGTGGTCCACTGGATAGCAATGTTTCCTAACAGCAAGAAGGACTTAGATGAAGATCCACTAACCTTCTTACTCTGAGTCAACATTGCTAACCATTTCTTCACCGCATATAGTTATTATATAGCGTACACACAGCATATATCTGTATAGCTAATTTAATTAACTAATATAAACATAACATTAAGCCCACAATCTCAGACGGGTATGGACAAGTCACAAATTTCTGTTGTGGGTCTGAACCATCTCAAGTAATGCCAGCCCAAGGAAAATGCTGTCAAATGCTTCACTTGTGTTTCCCTGACTTAAAAATGTAAATATGCAACTGTGTAACTTAGAGTAATTTTTTTTTTAAACCACACACACACACACACACACACACACACACACACACACACACACACACACACACACACACAGTAAATGCATCCAAAATATTAAACCATTTGAAAAGCAAGCATCAAAAACTCAATTCTGGAACAAATATAACTTTATTTTCCAGAACAAAAATACAGATGTTACATATGATTGATGTCTTAAGAGGTTCCATTTACAAATGTCCCACTAAACATCGGTGCACTGGAGTCACTACCATATACATTTGAAGTAGGATCAAGGTGTACTGCGAGGTGTTTTTTCAGATTGCAGTTCTTTGTAAAGCCTTTGCCACATTTGATACAAACAAAGGGTTTTTCTCCAGTGTGTGTACGCTGATGCATATCGAGTGTGCATTTCTGAATAAAGCCCTTTCCACAAACAGGACAACGATACGGCTTCTCCCCAGTGTGCGTACGCTGATGTGTATACAGGTGTCCTTTTTGTGCGTATCGCTTTCCGCATAGTGTGCATCTGAACGGCTTCTCCCCAGTATGGCTTCTCTGGTGTATTTCAAGCTGACTAAAGCATCTGAAGCTCTTGCCACACTGCAAGCAGCCAAACCTCTTAGTGGTTGAGTTCCTCAAGTTATGAAGCTTCATATTTCTGAGCACACTTAAGCTTTGGGAGGTTATATTTTGAGCCAAGCTTTTCCCAACTTCTAGGGTTGTGTCGGCAGGTGTAAGCTGTGGGTTCCAGTGCGTTTCCCTCCTCACTGTTTCACTGAAAGATGGCAGGGAGCTTAGAGGCACAAAGCTATCAGTAAACAGTGGCTGCTGGTGGTCTGCAATGTGTTTGGGACGCTGCATCACATTTGGAGCCTTCTGGGCGTCTGTGACTGTTTCTCTTCCTGTTGAAAGTAGACGTACAAGTTAAAATTCAGATTTTCTTTTTGTAGAAATGACCTTGATGATAGAAGGTGTAACAGTTATGACAATTTAGTACAACTATGATGAGCAGAAAAGTCAAATCCAGCATGGTTACTGAAAGTCCTCGTGAATTTCACATACAGCTGTGCAATCCGACATAATAAGCAAATTTATAGTCACTGTTTTCAGCTGTCCTGTCTTGTTGAGTGTTTCCATCGTCCACCTCACATGGCTCCTCTTTCACCACTACCAGTTCTGGGTGCTCTTTGGGTTGGTTTGGAAGCTGATAAGACAGGGGGGGAAAGGGCATTGGTTATAAATATCAGCCACAGAGTAATCAGCTATGATAACAAGAAATAAATGGCTGGTTATTGCAGACTTACTTCTGTTGCAGCATACTCTTCACCTTGATGCAAACTGCCAGTCTCAGAAGAAAAACTTTCCCACGGGATTTCACTAGGATGAAAAACACTGAGATTAAACACACCAAGCAAGGAGAACACAGCAAACAGCTACGTTCCATAATATACACACAAAGCAACATACCTACCTTTTAATTTCAAGTCTTGTTCTTTCAGTCTCCAGTACTCCGTTTTCTAAACCGTCCCTTCCAACTAAGCTCACTTCTGTCGCATCCTGCCTGCCCCCCTGTGCCATATAAAGCAGCTTCTCCATCAGCTGTAGTTTCTCTGTAAGCGAGGCGATTTCGTTGCGCCCGCGAGTTATCTCGATCTTGAGCATCTTTGACTCGATTTCGACCAGTTTGCTTATTTCCATTACAGCTGTTTTGGATAACGCATCCATGATGGAGACGAGCTGTGTCTGGAAAGAGAAGACTGTCGACATGATTTCTGTTTGTTTTGTTTTGGCTTTCCTGTCACGGTCCAGTAGTATCACGCGAACGACCTGACGCTGTCACGGGGGTCTTAATGGCCACAGCAAAGATGTTGTTGAAATGTAATGCAGGAGAAAAGCTGCATGTGCATGCCTTCGAGGTACGCGTGAGTGTCGCTCCAAAACTCGAGTGGGGCTGAAGTGGGTTCAGTGTTTCCATCTGTCGGCTGGGAGGAAGCATCGCAATTACAAACAAAACTTTAAAATTAGCGCTAATGTTGACAAAGAGTCCTGTTTTGACATCAGGGATGATTGTTGATTTGTAAAAGTTACCACAGCTTCCGGGGCGATTTGCTCATTGCAACCTACGTTTACTTTTTAACGCCTTTGACGTCGTGGTTGTTGTTCGGGACTACGCTAACCAGAATGCAGCACGTTATCAATCGGAATGTGATTGGTGGGTGAAAACTCGCTTCAGGAAGCAGTGTGGTGAATTACATTTGCCCATTTGCCAACTGAAAATCCTCACGATAACCTGCCTCAGAGATTCCAACTACAAGGTAAATGAATGTCACTATGAGGGAACTCGTAGAGGTAAACGTTGCCCTGCGAGGCTGGTTGGTTTAAGATGCGATGCTTTGTTGCTCTTGCGTTAATGGCTTTCTTTTTCTTTTCTTTTTTTGAGTGGTCTAATCATAAGACAAGCCAATTAAGTTTGCTCAAAGTAGTGCAAAAATAACAGCTTCACAACAGTGTAAAATTAAAAATAAATTAAATTAAACGACTGAGTAAATCACATTTACAGAGATAGCATGATGGCTTGCAAAACTGTTTGGTAACTGACTTCCTTATATGTTGTTCACTTTTCTTCTTTCTTACTTTGTCAGTCCTTCTCACAGAGTGTAGTCATGGCTGGAAGGAGAGTCCTGGTCTTCCCCTCATCAGCAGAGCTCGGTCCAGTCCTGGCCCAGCTGGTGACTTCACGGGCTGAGAAGGCCATCGGCTCTCATGGCAGGTTCACTCTGGGACTCTCTGGAGGAAGCCTTGTGTCCATGCTTAGCAAAGAGCTGCTTGCCCTGTCAGAGCTGGACTGCAGCAAGTGGTTGGTCGGTTTCTGCGACGAGCGCCTGGTTTCCTTTGACGATCCAGAGAGCACCTACGGGCTGTACAAGGTTTCTTTGAATTGGTGTTTGTGTTAACATAAATGTATGTTGCTCTGTTACAGTTGGATGAACTGCAGACCTTTTCATCTTGTTGCAGAGTCAGTTATTTTCCAAGATCAACATCCCCGAAAGTGGGATCTTGACGATCGACTGTTCTCTGCCAGTGAACGAGTGCGCTGAGGATTACACGCGGAAACTGAAAGAGGTACACAGCAATCACAGGCTTTTAGATTTTAGTGTCTGCAGAATGTTTACGTCATTATTTTCGCTGTTAAAACACACAGGTCTTCCCAGATGATGACTTCCCTGTGTTTGACCTATTGCTGTTGGGAATGGGGCCTGATGGACACACCTGTTCTCTTTTCCCAGACCACCCTCTTCTGGAGGTGAGGGCTCTTATTCTAATGAACAGTTGTCTTCTACAATAGATCTATGTTGAATTATTATGAAAAAGAATGAGTGCAGATACAAAATTACAGCTTTTTAAAGAAAGGAATCATTTATAGTTCATTCAAAACATGTGTTTTATTTTGTAACACAATATGTCATCGTGATCCTAAAAACAATGTTTCGTGCTCTTAAAATGCATTTTGGGCATTCTTCTAAATATTATCTCTCCGTTATTTTGTATAAAAGGCATATCAAGCACATTTGACTGAACTCTGGCACAGCATTTGTGGAAGAATGCCTGAGTTTGCTTTTGTATGTGGTTTCCTAATTAGCTACTCTAAGAAAACAATGTCTTCCCCCTGCAGTTTTCCAGTCACTCTCTCGACAATGCATGGATAATCACTGGGTTTTATGACAGCACAGTTTGGATTTTATGGTCTTCATAGTTATCCTTGTTAGAAGTCTGAAAAAGATCTATCTCATGTTACATTATCCAGTTTCCCAGACATGTATTAAGCTTCGTGTTCAGCTCCAGTGGAGAAAAAAAAAGCTTTTTAGCTTAATCCATGTCTGAGAAACTGAGCCTTCATATTTGCTAGTTTAAAATTATACGCTTTTGGTTCTCATATTGTCACTTTTGGTGCAATGATTAGTTATTGCCTTTGGGTGCACCCCATATTCAGGAAACCAAGAAGATTGTGGCTCCTATCAGCGACTCTCCCAAACCACCGCCACAGCGTGTAACTATGACTTTCCCAGCGGTGAACTCTGCACGTTGTGTGGCTTTTATATCAACAGGAGGAAGCAAAGCACCCGTTTTGAAGGTAACACTTAGGGGCGTCTGCTGAACATACACATCTCAAATTCTGAATCTTAACACCCTACTATTTCCATAACGCAATAAATAAACTTTGACACTGATGAGACAAAAATGAGACGCACCAAGAAACAAGGGTAATTTGGTTAGGCCATGTGACTCAATATTTATAGTTGAAAGGAGGACTGGGGCCAGAAGAAACACTGATGGGACTAAATAAGCCAGAGATGTGACTTTGAGCAGAAATCATTGCATTTATTCATTTATTATATTTTTATACAGTAATCTAAAACTAGATGTGAAAACTAGATTTTTCAAAACATCTGAAACAACTTTTGCAAACTTTAAAACTAACAAATTAAATAAAAATATAGAGGCAAGTTTTTAGTATTTGTTAGTTTAGTAAAAATGTAATTACAACTTGTTGACGAGGCTCTGATTATCATGTTTATTGAGACTCTGGATGTTTTCAAACAGTTGTGTTTTTGTTGACAAACGCCCAACAATATACAATCCATAAAATAATAATTTAAAAAGTTAACCTTAAACTAATAAAAACTAAACTAAAATATTTTCAAAGAATAAAAAATGAACAGAAATAGAAAAAATCTGAAAATTAACTGAAACTTAATTTAAAAACAAAGTCAAAATGGAAAAAAAAAAAAACTAATTAGAAAACGCTAAACTGTAATAACCTCATGCTTTATAGTTTTGTGTTTGTGCTATTGTAGCACATTAATTTCTCTCTTTTTATTTGCAGGAAGTGTTGGAGGATGGAGAAGCTTCACCGTTTCCAGCAGCACGAGTTGTCCCAACTAAGGGCGAGCTGTTCTGGCTTGTTGATGAACCAGCAGCTGCCTCTTTAACTATCCAGGTAGAGAGGCCAGGCTCAGGAGCCAAGCTGTAGATCTGCCTGACTAATACATGCAGGGAGCTCAATGAAGAGTCTGGAAAATAGTGCAGTTCATTCCAAAATCAGTGAAATGTTTGTTTGTGTGTGTGTGTGT